GAATAGAATAGAATAGAATAGAATAGAATAGAATAGAATAGAATATAGAGTATAGAGTACAGAGTACAGAGAACAGAGAACAGAGAATAGAGAATAGAGAATAGAGAATAGAATAGGAGAGAATATAGAATAGAGTAGAGTAGAGTAGAGTAGAGTAGAATAGAATAGAATAGAATAGAATAGAATAGAATAGAATATAGAGTACAGAGTATATAGAATATAGAATATAGAATATAGAATAGAATAGGAGAGAAAATAGAATAGAATAGAATAGAATATAGAGTATAGAGTATAGAGAATAGAATAGGAGAGAATATAGAATAGAATAGGAATAGAATAGAATATAGAGTATAGAGTATATAGAATGTAGAATGTAGAATGTAGAATATAGAATAGAATAGGAGAAAATATAGAATAGGAGAAAATATAGAATAGAATAGAATAGAATAGAATAGAATAGAATAGAATAGAATAGAATAGAATAGAATAGAATTCTTTTTTTATTAGCCAAGCGTGATTATTGGACACACAGGGAATTTCCCTTGGGGCAAATGCTCTCAGTGCCCATAAAAGAAAAGATTCATTCGTCGAGAGTCAAGAATCATCAGGGACAATGACAGGACCAGAAGTGTCCACAGGGATGGGGTGATTTTTATGTGAGTCATATTTAAAAATGGTGGGGCTCCAACTGCGTGGATGTAACTGCCCTCCTATCTTTTTTTGACCTCCATCCCTGAAGATGTCTCAGCCTCCGAATTCCTTTGCTGGGATGTTCAAAGCCAGAGATATTGCTGGAAACTCAACAAGATGTACCTCCAGCAGGTGTGGAAGGGGTCCAACCGGACCTGGTTGTCCTCAACGCTTCAGGTCTTTATACTCTATTTCAGACCCAATTCAGCCTGTCAATCTGTCACATGCGCTGCGAGGATGGGCAGCTGTCATTCTGACACGAAGGCTGAATTTTAGGAAAAATCAAGGGCGACTTGGGTAAGGATGCAGATTCTGACTTGAGAGTGGCTCTCTTTTTGGCAAGAAGACCTGCTTTCTGCTCGCGGCAGGCTGGCAGCCTTAAAAGCAAAAGGAAGTCCTTTGTGTTGGGGTGTCTTTCATTTTAGCATTGGGTAGAAGTTTAATGAAGACAAAAGTATCATCATGTCCATGTTTTTAATTGACGTGTCTAGGACAATCCAGAGTCGGAAATAGATTAGTTCCATAACCGTTTTCAGGACACAGACTCAATTTCTCTCCCTAACTGCAAGGTGTGAGTTCTGTTTTTATCACAAGTCAGGATGGGCACTGCCAATCAGATGCCCATGGACACTTTTCAGGATACCTACTGTGTTCTAGGTTGATAGATAGATGATAGAGATAGATTAGAAAGAGAAAGGTGATAGATAATGATAGGAAGATAGATTATAGAAAGAGAGGTGATAATGATAGATTAGAGAGAGAGAAAGATGATAGATGATAAATGATAGAGAGATGATAGAGAGATGATGATGATATATGATAGATAATGATAGATGAGAGAGCAAGAGAGCACTAGAGATAGAGATTAGATAGAGATAGATAGACTAGATAGATAGATAGATAGATAGATAGATAGATAGATGATAGATAGATAGATAGAAAGATAGATAGACAGACAAGATGATAGATAAGAGCGAGACAGATGATAGAGATAACAGGAGAGAGAAACGATACATGATATAGGCAGACATGCAAATAGATAAGGTATAAAAGCCATATTTTAGAATAACAGAGTTGGAAGGGACCTTGGAGGTCTTCTAGTCCAACCCCCTTTCTAATCTATCTCTTAAAAAGAACTCTCTCCAAATATGTGTGATCCTGCAGAGCAGCCGTTTTTTAAAATCAGAAACAGCTTCCAAAGTAGACGCCTACTTCTAATATGGGTGCTTTGTAGACACTCTTAATAGATGATGGAGGGATGGAGGGATGAATAGATGGAGGGATTGAAAGATACCCATCCACATCTTGAAACCAACCCACTGAGATGTTCTCAAACCTCCAGAGGTGCTCAGAGGCCCCACCGGTGGCCAGATGCTCTGCAGAATTCAACAAATTCCCCTGGTATCTTTCTGGAAAAAGACTCCTCAGCTACAAGGTACCTTTCCATAACTCATTGAGGACTCACACAGGTACAGCATTGCCGATACGAATAAAGATACCCCAACTATATCTACGGCATCGATATTTATACTTGCAATTAGCCAGTAATTGGATATTTGGGGAATGGATATGAACCTCTCATTATCATGAACCAACCTCTCATTAGCCTCTCCATCCTGATCTTTAGAATTTAAATAAGTGGCCAATAAGCCCCTTTTCCGAATTATAGCTTTAATTTCTAGATGGATAAGTTGGGTCTTGCTAACCCATTTAAGCTGAGAAGGTGGGTTATCCATGAAGCGAACCTCTACCAACCCTTGGCCCTGCCTGCCTCGTTCTCCATAGTTTTGAGTATGGAAAACTCACCTTTACCTGGGATTCACTCATGCCCAGGGAATATGCCAGTTGTGCCCGCTCAGGCCCAGCCAAGTATTTGGTCTGCTCAAAGGTTTTCTCCAGGGCAAAGATCTGGTGGCCTGTGAAGGTCGGCCGGGTGTGTTTCTTCTTGTGGAGGCCGTCACCCAGGTGCCCTGCGGCTGTTTGGAGGGAGACGGGCAGCATGGTCACAGACTGGCGTGCAGCTTCCCCCAAGGGCAGCACCCAAAGTTAACTAATGCTTTGAACCTCAACACTTCTGGGCAGGATGGCTCTCGAGGAGTTTCTTCGTTCCCCACGTTGGATGTCTGAGCTTACTGGGTGTGGAATAGGCCCCGGCGTCAACACCCTGGTGGGATTCAACCGGTGTAACAACCGGTTCAGTGAGCGACCGCGCATGGTGCCTTAGAAGGCAGCTCTAAAACTTACCTTCAGCCCCAGTGAGGTATGACAATCCACTCTGCCACGCCTATCAACTGGGCTTCAAACAAAGGAAGTATAGGACAGACTAGCGCAGGGGCGGGTGGATGGGGCCAACTCATCGCCGGAACTACCGGTTCTCTCAAACTGGTCCGTACCAACTGAATGCCTGCTTAAACATCTTCCCAGGAGCCTCTCTTTAGATGGGAAGGGGCTAACCAAGACTTACTGACCAGCAATCGAGACTCTCCCCCCCTCCCAGGTATCTACCCCAAAGTCCCCTTTTGGCAGGCCATTGCAAACACCCAACTTGACCTCTGCCTGCCCACAGTCACACCAAATAAAAACTGTCATGCCTCCGCCCACATCAAAACCTGTGAATCTGTGGGGGAAGATGAGCCGGAACTGGAGCGGACAGAGATTGAGGGGGGGGGGGCTTCATTGTCTTGGGAGGAAAATGGGGAGGACCAGGGCCAGTCAGGCCAGGGCCTTTTGGGGATTGGGACAGCTTGTAGGCAGGGAGGAAGGTGGGGCAGGACAACCCAGAAAGGCTAAGCGGGGAATACGAGAGACAGAGCTCAGGCGATGCGCAAAGACCACACGTGCTGACCAACAGAAATGGTGGCGTTGCTTTAACTAGTCGACTAGCAAATTTGAATCGGCTGAAATATTCCAAGCAAACAGCCAATTCTGATTCGCCCTCTGCTGTTTTGCAACAAAATAAAATAAAATTTCCCCTTACTTTTAATAATGAAGCTAGCCGCTGCCTCGGAGCATTCCCTCCACTCATTCTGAAACCCCCTAATGTAACTTCTAATTGCTCATTGGCCCTTTACAAAGGACAGCAGAAACAACTGGGAGTAGTTGCTTTGTTTCGTTTTGCATCCCTGATGACAGGTCTGCAGTTATACCTTTGAAACTCACAAGTGGCTAATCTGGTGAAGAGAAGAACCAGGAGAGACAGGATAGCAGTGCTCCGATATTTGAGGGGCTGCCCCAGAGAGGAGGAAGGGGGTCAAGCTATTTTCCAAGGCACCCCAAGGCCAGACAAGGAATAACGGATGGAAAGTGAACAAGGAGAGAGATTCAACCTGGAAATAAGGAGGAATTTTCTGACAGAGAGAAGAATCAACCGATGGAACAGAAGTTGCCTTCAGGAGTTGTGGGAGCTTCATTCCTTGGAAGCTTTCAAGAAGAGACTGGACTGCCAGCTGTCAGAAACGGTGTAGGGTCTCCTGCTTGGGCTGGGGGTTGGACTAGATGACCTACAAGGTCCCTTCCAAGGTCCCTCACTTTCTGTAAAAGGGAGACTAGATGGGCAAACCTTCACCTTCTTCCCACGGGCACCAGATCTTAATACCCTTCGCTGAGAGGCGGTTTGGAGTTTTGGGAAAGTGGCCGTTTAAATGCTGTTTTTGTGTCCCTGATCTGCAAGAAAACAGCAAGCTCCGATGACCTTTGACATTGCCGAAGATGACTGTCTTTTCATGCAAATCTCAGGGGAAATATCTTTCTCTGTGTGTGTGTGTGCGCGCGCGCACGCACGAGCATTTGGCGTGAATTTCCAACAGCTTGCTTCCCCACAAAACTAGCTACAAAGAGGTAAGGAAGGAGCAAGTTTGCCCAAGGGGCCAGAATGCTAATAAGGGGCGCCTTCCACGGTGGAGGAGTGTCTTTCCCCGGCTTCTTCCCCAAAGTCTACATGGCACCGTGACCCCAACTGACCTCCCTCTTCATCTCCACTCCAGATGACCTGCCCTGGGGCTAACCATCCACGCTCCCCATTTCTGAGAGCCTTCTACACATGGAAGCCACAAGAATCAAGTTTTTCTTCCTTCCCAAGCTTGATATCTATCGACCAAGACTCTCCAATTCGCTTTCTTTTAATAACAGAAAAGTTGGAAGGGACCTTGTAGGTCATCTAGTCCAACCCCCTCCTCTGCCCAAGCAGGAAACCCTACGCCATTTTTTTTGCCTTTGAGCTTTCTTCCTCTTTCTTTCTTTATTTGAAGTTTTTCACGATTGGTTTTATTATTGTGTAGCACGTCTTGGTCTTACTCACCCTGTACCTTTGCTTTGATATATTTTTCCCCCTCCTTGCTTAAAAGGAGAATTTCTCTGGCTTCCTCCTTTTCTGTGCCCCAAGAGACTGATGGTCTAAAATAATCAATTGCCTTCCTTATTCTCTGCTTTATGGATAATGTGTGTGTGTTGTGTGTCATTTGTTTAGTTTTTTTATCCCACTGTGATTATTATAATTTACAAATAATTCAATTTGTTTTTTTATCTCACCATTATTATTGTTTACAAATAATTCAATAGATTTTTTTTATCCCACCTTTATTTTGGTTTTCAAATAACTCAAGGCAGCAAAGACATATATCCATTCATCAGAATAGAGCTGGAAGGGAACGTAGAGGTCTTATAGTCCAACCCACCCCTGCTGAATCAGGAAATCCTATCCCATTTCAGACATACATAGCTGTCCAATCTCTTCTTTAAAATCTCCATTGATGAAGCACCCACCTAACTTCTGAAGGCAACTTCTGTTCCACTGGTTTAATTGTCCTCCCTGTTAGGAAGAAACAGTGGCTGCCACAAAGAAGGAGATGGAGTGAGGTGTCAAGCTATTCTCCAAAGCACCAGAAGGCAAGAGAAGAAGCAATGGATGGAAACTAATCCAGGAGAGAAGCAACTTAGAACTAAGGAGAAATTTACTGACAGCGAGAACAATTAATCAATGGAACAATTTGCCTCCAGAAGTTGTGAATGCTCCAACACTGGAAGTTTTTAAGAAGAGATTGGATAACCATTTGTCTAAAATGGTGTAGGGTTTCCTGCCTAAGCAGGGGGTTGGACTAGAAGACCTCCAAGGTCCCTTCCAACTCTCTTATTCTATGTTTCAACCCCAAGTGGACAGCAGTGGCCAAATCTGAGTAGTTGTCCCCGTTTATTAAGGGGTGCCTGTGTGTTTGTGTGTGTGAAAGAGTAAGATTTTACCGTGGCTGTCCCTTTCTACCAATCTAACATGTCTCCTTTTAATAGTTGAAGCTTCTCTGGGTGTGTGTGGAGGCTTCTGCAGAGGTCAGCCGTGTTTCTGGGAATCTCAGTTTGCGCTGAAGAACTCCAAGTTCGTGCAGTAGCTCTGTTGAATTCTACGGTACGGTGCGATACGAATGCAATATCAGGGGTTTTCAATACAATTGTACAGAATGTGAAGGGTGTGTGGTCGTGTTTTATTTTTATACTTATAATGCACACTGAAGATGGTGTTTAATTTCATTGTACAAGGTGCGAGGACAATAAAGGAAACTAAACGAAACTAAAACAAAAAAAAAAAGATGGTAAACTTTGGAGCCTACTCTGCGGTACAATGGGGGGTGGGTGTTTTTGAAGGTCCCTCTCTCTCTCCCCCCTCTCTCTCCCTCTCTTTGTCCCTTCCTCCCTCTCCCTCCCTCTCTCTCTCCCTGTTTCTCCCTCTCCCTTTCCCTCTCTCCCTCTCTCTATCTCTCTCTGTCTCTCCCTCTTTCCCTTCCTCCCTCTCCCTCCTTCCCTCCCTCTCCCTCCCTCCCTCTCTCCCCGTTTCTCCCTCTCCCTTTCCCTCTCTCCCTCTCCCTCCCTCCCTCTCACTCCTTCCCTCCCTCTCCCTCTCTTTGTTTCTCCCTCTCCCTCTCTCCCCCTC